CGGTCCCCGGTCCGGTACGGGGGCGACACTGAGGGTTGCGATCCGTTGCCGGACACGGAAAAAAAGACAAAAAGACAAAAAAAAAAAAAAAAAGATGACCGGTAAGGGGATCTTAACCCTTGACTTGGTGTTGTCAGCACTATGCTCTCCCAAGTGAGCTAACCGGCCATCCCTATATAGGGATCTGAACCCATGGCCTGTGGTGTTGTCAGCACCACACTCTCCCAAGTGAGCTATGGGCCGGCCCTCCTAGTTGTCTTTTTGACCTTCATTTAATATAGAAGGAAAGCATCTTCATTTGGCAGATAGTGGTTGATAACTCCACCAAGTACATGCACTCCCACCCTGCCAATTAGCATTGAGGTTTTGAGTTTGGGAAGTGGAGCTAAAAAGGATCACATACCTACCCCTGCAGTGGGTGAAGTTGTCTGTCCTTTGCTTTTAGTCTTCTTGTTGCTCTTTGACAAGATATGGTCAGAGTAGCCTCAGGCTAACTGAACCTCCTAGATAGGGTTGACAGATAAAATACACAGTGCCCTGTTAAGTTTGAACTTCAAATAAATGATTTTTTTAGAAATAATTTTTTAATGTATGTACCATGCAATATTTGGGACATACACTAAAAATTTACTGTTTATCTGAAATTCAAATTTAATGGGGCAGCCTGTATTTTTATTTGATAAATCTGGCAATCCTACCTACTCTTGCAGAATCTGGAACCTAGATGTCAAGCAGATATCAAGGATTGATAGAAGATAAAAAGTTATATAAACTTCCTATTCTCCCTCCTTTTCTTCTGGATTCCCTTTTCCCTTACCATGGACTAAAGCGTTTTTTTTTCTTTTTTTTTTTTCTTTTTTTTTTAAAAAGATGACCGGTAAGGGGATCTTAACCCTTGACTTGGTGTTGTCAGCACCACGCTCAGCCAGTGAGCGAACCGGCCATCCCTATATGGGATCCGAACCCGTGGCCTTGGTGTTATCAGCACCGCACTCTCCCGAGTGAGCCACAGGCCGGCCCAACATTTGCACATTTTCAACCTGCCTTGTAGTTGCAGGTACAAAAGGCAAGCATATTTTTCAGAGGGCTGGTGTTATAAATGGAGTAGCTACAGCATACATAGCCACTACGGTCCCGCCAATAATCCCAGTAAATAAGAACCCCCAATTGCTTTTCTTCAAACTGTTTGCTTCAAGTCTTGTGGTTAGAACATGTTTTAACTGACTTTCTTCTTCGAGCATTTCTGGGGGTGTACCTCCTCCGCCCTCCATCGCCTGCTGGAGTATTTTAAAACATCCTAGACATCATATCATTTCACTTTTAAATATTTTGGTTTGTATCTTCTTTAAATTTTTTTCTTTTTTTCTTTTTCTTTTGGTGGCTGGACAGTGCAGGAATCCAAACCCTTGACCTTGGTGTTATAACACCGTGCTCTAACCAGCTGAGCAACCGGCCAGCCCCATGGTTGTATTTCTTAAAGTCTTTATCTTTTATAAGACATAAAAGATAAGATTTGTCTTTATCTTTTATAAAGATACGCCTATATCTTTATCTTTTATTTGTTATGTGTTATAACACTAAGGTCAAACCACCAAAAGAAAAAAAAAATCAAAATAAGAGGTATAAATATTGGTAAGGTAAAGACAAAACTGTCATTCTTTCCAGTTGATATGGAAATCCAAGAGGATCAACTCACAAATCATTAACAAAAAAGAAATAAATTTTATATGCAGTATGGCTACTTTTTTTTTTTTTTAAAAAGATGACCGGTAAGGGGATCTTAACCCTTGACTTGGTGTTGTCAGCACCGCACTCTCCCGAGTGAGCCACTGGGCCGGCCCAGCGTTTTGTTTTTCTTTCACCACCATATCTTCCACTTCAAACAGTTCTTCACTGGTGTATATTTCTATATCATTTTCTAAAGTTGTGGAGGGTCCAGGATGGATACTACTGTCCAGCATCTGTTTTCCGGAATGTGACCCAGGGCATCCCGTGGGGGGTGGCAGGAATTCTGTACGAGTAGTGTGTTAACTAGAAGAGAATGTAGATGGCCCTGTTCAATCAAGGCCCACTAGCACTTTGGAAAGCATGTAGGCCTCTGGATGAGTTTTCCCCTAGGCAAATGAAAGCACTTACTGCTCATGTATTCTAGTCTCAGGATGTTCTGATAGATGCTCACAGGATGTCATGGTTGAAAGGGCCTAGAAACATGGCTGTCACCTGTGGGGCTGTTTCTGGGAACTTTGTTTAGTGACTGAAACCTTTTAAAATAGTTTTTAATTTAACGGCCGGCCCGTGGCTCACTTGGGAGAGTGTGGTGCTGACAACACCAAGTCAAGTGTTAAGATCCCCTTACCAGTCATCTTTAAAAAAAAAAAAAAAAAGAATCTACATGAAGACTGACTTGCTGATCTCACTTTTAAGTTTTTCATAATGAATGGTAATAAACTTTTCTGATTTTACAGGGTCTGTTGCTTTCTAAAAATTAAAGCAATTCCTCCCCTCCTTGCTTTGAGTGGTTTCTAAATGCTCTTCAACTTGCAAAGGATGAAATGACTCTAGTTGTCATATTGCACATTGTACCTATGTGTAACTGTACTTGTTTTTCTGCTCCAGACAATCAGGGTAGGGAACTGTCTTGCCCTACTAACATTGATTCTCTCGTTCCTTTCCCCGACCTATCATCCCAGGATTTTAGCTTCATTTCTGGGTTCTCACTAATGACAGATCAGTTAGTTCCCTGTAGGCAATTTTTCCTCTTATTATACTACATTCAGTAAATAACTGTTAAGTTCCTACTGTGTTACAGGCATTACTGTACTAGTGGCTGGGGTTGTAAAGACACATAATTTAATGTCCTTTGCTTCTTCCAGTTATGTCAGCAAAATTTCCTTTCTCTGTTTGTTATAAAAATTGACTAATTCTGGCTAGTAATTATTTGTACTGCTGGTGCATTATTGAGTGCACTAGTAAGGAAGAATAAAACCATGTTTTTTTTTTTTTTTAAATAGCTTTTTTTTTTTTTTTCCTTTTTGTCTTTTTTCGTGTCCAGCAACGGACCGCAACCCTCAGTGTCGCGCCCGCACCGGACCGGGACCGGCAACGGGATCGCAACCCTCAGTGCCGCGCCCACCTCTCGCTCAGCCAGTGAGCGGGAACCGGTCTGTATGTGGGATCTGAACCCTCGGCGGGAGCGCCGCCGCGCTCCCAAGCGGCGCACTGTAGCAGTGTGCCACCGGGCCGGCCCTAAAAATAGCTTTTTTGAGTTATAATTTACAAACCATAAAATTCACCCATTTCAAGTGTACAATTTAACAATTTTTAGACTTACTGAATTGTACAACCATCACCAAAATCCGATTTTAGAACATTTCTGTCATCCCAGACATGCCTCATGCAGTTACTCCCTGTTCCCACCTCCAGCCCTAGACAACCACTAGTCTACTTTCTTTTATAGATTTGTCTTTTCTGGATATTTCATGTAAATGGAATCATACAATATGTGGTCTTTTGTAACTCATTTCAATCATTTAGCAGTTTCCAAGGTTCATCCATTTTGTAGCACATGTTGGTACTTTATTTCTTTTTATTGCTGAATCTACTGTACAGATATATCATATTCTGCTTATCAGTTGATGGACATTTGGATTGTTTCCACTTTTTGATTATTATGAATAACAGTGCTATGAATATCTATGTAGAAGGCTTTGTGTGGATATGTTTTTAATTCTCTTGGGTAGTGTTGCTTTGCCCCCCACGGATTTGTCATCCCACTTCCCCTGGGTGACGGACACGCAAAGGATCACTCAAAGCCCATCTCTTCCGAGCAGTGAGAGGCCCCGAAGTGGTTAACCTCCCTGGGAATGCTCAAGCGAGAGCCAACCTTTCCATTTGGGAAATTAATGCCGAATTGGGGTTCTCTCCCTGCATTTATTTTCCAGACTGGGAAGTTATAGGAAGAGAACAAAGGTGGGGTTATAGTTTAACAATATAGGCTGGTAACTTTCAGTGAAACAAGCCAGATGATGTTCCAGTAGACAATTAAGTGGTTCTATCAACAACAGTTTGATCTTAGCAAACATTCCTTCTTATAGCAATTTCTCAGTATCTTTACATATCAATCAGTAACCAGTCTGTCTTTAGGCCAGCAACCTGCTGTGCCACAATCCTTAGCTTGCAACAGAGACTTATAGCCTGAGGGGAATTTCCAGTCCTCCTCAAGGTCAATATTTGAAACTGCAAGGCTTTGGAAAACCAAGCCATGTGAAGTACATATGCTTTATAGTATATTCCACAGGGTAGAAAACTAGGAGTGGAATTTCTGGGTCATGTGGTAAATTTATGTAAAACCATGTTTTGAGTA